TAACTAATCTTATTTTAAGCCAAATAGAGATAATTCTTCATGTGCTATGTCATTTCAAGTTAAGCAATGTCAAGCCTGGTCAGTACCTAGGTAGGTGACTGCTTGGGAATATCAGAGGCTGTAAGCTTGGATGTGTAGGTGGTGTAATGGATAAAGGCTTGGAATTATTAATCAGAGCCAAGTTCCAATTCCAAGAGCCAAGTAAAAGTTTTAGTTCTCTTAGGATGACTTTGTTGTATTCTCCCTTTCAAGTGGAAAGGGACTTCCTTCCTCAAAGATCAACTTTCAGTTATTTTCTTGAGCCTGGGATTGAACACTGTATCCTGGGTGAAGAAGTGAATGCTTTATAATAACTTGGAATAGAAGAGAACCCAATTCAAGCCAAATGAATCACTATTCGATGTACAAGATCCTGATCTTCATTCAGCCTTGAGGCTAATATATATATATATATATATATATATATATATATATGTGTGTGTGTGTGTGTGCATGCTCAGCCAGGATTTGAACTTACATTCTCCTAGGGGAAAGCACCATCAGATCGGGTGTGCTTTGACTTCTTGGTTACAAAGTGCATTGATGACCAAGCCACGTTCAATAGTGCCTTTAAACACAGATTTGGTGTCCGGCATTTCCGATTCTTGGGTAACTTGGTCCTTTCCATTTCTGAGGTCCAGTTTCGCCCCAGTTATAGATTCCCCTTGTAAATTCCCTTTTATTGGTTCCAGTTTGTCCAGTAGGGGTGCCAAATCTCTAAAGGAAACCATCTCTTTCTTTCCATCCAGCTCACATATATAAGTGTCTTCTGAAAGCATTACTGGTGAGTGGCGATCAAGATATATGACATGTTCGACATGAGAGGGGCATATTCAACATTTGATAATTTTGCAGCAATATACACTTAAAGGTTTTAGGCAGTTTTGGTCAACATTTATTTTCATGGTTAGCCATAAGGAATTGTAAATGTAGGACTACCTTACACTTAAGTAAATATTTATTAAGAATTTACTACAGGAAATATCAAGTTTTATGGAAACATTGTTGACAGTTATGTATAACAAATAAAAATAATATAGATTTTGATGTTATATTTGATTTGTTGTTAGGTATTTATAATTTTCTCTTTTGTTATTGGCAGCATTTTAGAATACTTTGGCTGCAATGCTAAGTTTCCTAAGTTGAACAAACTGGAGCTATTTCATTTATGCTTTGTTACCTCTCTTTTCCATTGTTGTTTTTAGATCACTTTCTTCCAGTCATTTTGATGGTCAATAGCAAAATTCTGAAATTTAGAATGATCTTATTCCATTCCAAAAATAAAGCCTGTAAAAAGGAATATTTTAAATTAATATACAACCAAAAATAAAAAGCTTTTGACAAAAAAATGTAATGATATTTCACAGACAAATCTATAGTTTATGTTACCTCATCTCATTGCATGGTTATACAAACTATAAACCTAAATTGAGCTTGAAATATTGTGTAATTAGCTTTAATTTTTTATGATGAATAATTTGCAGTGAAAAAAGCAATTTTCAATTTATTTTTATTTTTTTTTTTTTTTTTAATATGCCCCTCCTCCCAAATGCATCATATATAATATAATATACCAGTTCGTTCTTGACTTGGCTATTGGCCAACATTTATTAGATAATACAGAGTGCGTGACAGGATATAGGAATAATTTGTTCACTGTTTTGTGCAGAGCTCAGTCTGCTGTATCTGTTAGAAGCTGATTATATTAAGTTACATCAACCATCTATGTGCAGGTAGAAAGACCATTTTCTTCACACTCTCTCTCTGTCTTTTAGGAGGTATATGAATAAATTTTTCCATTTTTTATACGCACTTGGAACCATTTAAATTAGCTTTTTAGCTTGTATATTTCCCATCTTCCCCCCACCTCGTTTTTATTAATAAATTTGTATTTTAGTTGTGGTTCCTTTTTTCTCCTTATATTTTCTCGCAGTACGAATTGTTGTGCTTTCTTGGTCAATTAATATTTACCAATGTACTCTTCTGATAATGTGTCCTGCTTAAATATATATAGTATGATTTAAAGGGAGTTCTCTACATTTAAATTCTCCTGGAGAATCAAAGGTTTGCCCTAAGCTAATACTAATCCAAATGAAACCACGTGAAGACAGCAATTGGCATTTAAGAGATTGTAAAATATCCTATCAGTTTAATACTTGGTTGCATGTTTGTTTGGTGACAAGGCAAAAAATTTCTACTCATTCATTGTATTTTCCAGAAATGACACTTTGTGATTAGCATGTATACTGGTCTTTAAAGAATTCTTTTCTTTTCTCCATTAATTTCCTGAAAGACTGCAAAAAGCACTTGGTGCAGGTCTTTGAGAAATAGAAAACATTCTATGAGGATAAAATCCTAAAACTACCTGAAAAATAGTAGGACAAAATGGAAAATATGTAGTTCATTAAAGTAAAAAAAAAACAAATTCTTGTAAAATCAAACAAGTTTTGGTCACCTAATAAAAAATGAAATATTTATATATATATATATATATATATATATATATATATATATATATATATATATATATATATATATATATTAAAAAAGATTCTTTATCGACAAATGTGTAAAAAATGGTTGATACTTCTGAGCATCCATACTATACTATATAGGATTCCAGATTGGATTATATTTGAAAGTCAGCACTACAAAAAAGTGATGCTAGTGTCAAAATTCTAACTTAGTAGTCTTGGAATTTCAGAAGTTACCAATTCTGATTAAATTGGTGCCTTCTCAATGATAACAAAACTCGTGTGAATTAGTGGTAAACAGTCATAAGTTTTTCTAACATTTACATCCTGAATGTAAAGAATTTCAAAACTTTTGGTAAATTATTTAAATTTTATTTTAAAATTTCTTAAAAATTCAAAAAATAAAATTGAAACTTAAAAAAAAACCTTTTATGTCTAATTTACCAAATAAACCTTTGATATGACAGACTAAAGGTTCAGATCTTTTGTTTGGCCTTCCCTCATTTCTATCTGGCCCTTTTGAGCCTTTGTAGTCTATGACTCTCCCCCTTATCTCGAATATGGCCTGGAATGTCATGACTAGAATCCCTTACATTCCAGCTGAGTGTCACTTGATTCTAAAAAAATTTTATCTATTTCTTTTGCCTACTTCTGGATATCTGGTAGTTGCTTTTAAATTCTCACATCTCAATTTTACTGTTATTTAACATAAAACTTCCAGTCACTCTAGGCAGAAATAGTCATTTACAATCATCTTGACTATATGCATATGTCCTAACCACTTGAGCAGGAATGCATTATACCCCCAGTCTTTAAAATCTCCAGTGAAGTTATCACTCTCTCATATATATATATATATATATATATATATATATATATATATATATACATACACACACACAGAATTAACAGGTTTGTTTTGTTTTTTCTTTTCTTTTTTTTCTTTTCTTTTTTTGTGTTTTTTTCTTTTTTTTTTTTTTAATCAGACATCTTTTTATTACTTCAAATGTTATTTTTAGCAGATACCAGTATATGAGTAGACACTGTTTTATTTTAAACAGTATTTATGTTGCCGATCTACCGGCCTGCACACATGAAAAAACTCTGTAAAGAAAATGATTTCCCCCCAAAGGGAGTGCAGGGTTTAAACTTGCATTCTCCTTTGCAAGAGAAAACAACATCTGATCAATTAAGATGGGTTTTCACAATCAAGCATTGTCCTATTTGTCTTTGAAAGCTCACTCACTTATTTAGATTTTCTTGAAAGGCATATCTATTCAGTTTGGGATCTGAAGCATAAAGTAAGCAATTTCTAAAAAAAAAAAAAGTTTTTTTTTTTGTTTTGTTTTTTTTAATTGGTAAAATGCAATATAACAGAAATTTCCTGCCTAGTTCCACAGCCCCAAGGAAGTTGTGATGTGATTAATGTTTACCAAAAATTCTGCAAATTCCAGACAGAATTGGGAAATGTTCTTTTACAATCCTATCTGACAGACTACATTGAAATCTTATGAATATGTATGGTTGTGAGTATTTTAGAAGCATGGGTTACATGTAATGCTAATAGGAAGTTCTTTGTTTTACAAAGTGGGTCTTTGTTATGGATGCTTAATTAACCAAAATCCATGTTCACACATGCTACTTTAGTTGCTTATGAGACAACTTTGCCATCCATTTTTGTCAAAATCTAGCAGCAGTGAAATTAACAGCACACCTGCATTTTAACCATTAGCTATCTCTCAATGCTTCAAGGAAAGAAAGGAATTTACTGAAGTTAAACTACATAAGTGTGATTGTTGTAAATTGTTGATAGCTTTATTGACAGTTCTTTCTGCTAGAACTTCTGCACTTTTCGGGAAAGTCACTATGACCGAGATATTATCTGAACCTCAAACAAAAACCCATGGGATCTGTTGGACTGAATAGAGACATACTACATAATTCCTCCTAGAAACATGAAGGAAGATTCTATCACACTAAACATCAGAAACAGCCATGCCTAAATTCATGTAATCCTTCACTGAACTGGGAATCCTGATTACTGACTAAAGTTACATTCAGCATACAAGTGACCTGGAGTGCTGATTATCTCTGGTTTACATTATATTTGATCCCATGACAACAAAAAAAAAAGCACATTTACAGTGTCACTTGATCTGAAAAGCTTTTTATTTATCTTTTCTGTGTTCTTTTCGTCACAGAGTGGCCACTTTGATGATCTTACTTTTAGACATTACTACCAGTCATGAAACACCAGATTTTTCAGTCTCGGACAAAATCAATTAGGTCCCACTTGACTTTGTGCATATTCTATTGACATTTGGACTCCATTATATCACAGCTGAGTCTGGGACTCTTCAGTTTGTGTCAAAATGAATGGAAATTTAAATAATATTAGTGCAATTCCTTATGATTCATTTTTCAGTATTTACTATTATTTTATTACTGCCAAGATGTTTTATTTTTTTATCCCAGACCTCCGGGTTTACAGCCACATCATGTTGAAACACGGGTTCCTGTCGGATTACCAAAGTTAAGCAATGTTGATTTTGGTCTGTACCTAGATGGGTGACCACTTGGAAATACCAGGTGCTGTAAGTTTTGATGTGCAAGTGGTGTAATGGATAATGGCTTGGAATTGTTAATTGGAGAGCCAAGTTCCAATTCCCATTGAGTTTGTTATATTCACAAATAACTTTGGGAAAGGTATGACTCATCTCTCTCCCCCAGTTATGGGTTAATTAGTAAGACTGGTATCACTAAGCCATTATTATGTAAAAAAAAAAATTCTTACAATCTAAAAATATTTTCTGGTATTAAATAACCTGCAAATGGTTAATAAGCCATAGAAAACAAATCAATCAACCAACCCTCTGGCCAGATCCACTCTTTAATATTACTATTATTTTATTACTAGTTTGATTCCATCTTATGTATGCTTATATCCATATGTCATTACAAAACCAATTATCATCCTCTTCAATCATGTTGTATAATAACAAGATCTGATGACATCTTTTGGTCATGTTGACTGAAATATCTAATGAAGTGTGACAAAACAGGAAAAGGACATTCTTGTCATACTAACAGTAAAACACCTGAAATTAAAGATGCCTGTTTTAACAATATAAAACTGCTACCACCTTTTATTTAGCATTGGTTTCTCATTGATCCTTCCTTATCAAAGGTCAATTTTATTTTTAACATTTTTGGATTTTTCTCTAAATTCTCTCTTATGTGACAACAATCTGTAGTAATGAAGGAAAGCTGAATTGTGAAAGTTTCATTTACTACAGTGCCTCATCTTTTATCAAGAAGCTGTCATCCAAGGTTCTGGAAATAGGTTTTTCAGTGGAGTCTTTCCTTTTCATCTCCTGCGGGATTCTATCTCAACATAGCAAGATAATCTCCACGGGTATCTGGGGAAAGGTCTAAGGTTAAGATTAATTCTCATTAAGTACTCTTTATGGTGGACATGTGGCCTAGGGTTTAAATTTAGCATTTCAATCTCACTATGATTGATTTATCCAGGAAATGATTTCTTGATAATATCAGCATGGGGGAGATGATTCCAGTGTGTGGTACCATTGGAAAGTGCCTGAAAACCATACCACAGGTTCGCCCAAGCTTTGTGAGTGAAATTGGGTAGACATAATTATTCAGAAGCTGTTAATGGTTGTTAGTATGAAGTAACACGTCATCATGACTGAGAAATTTATCATACTGACTTTGTTCAAAACTTGATCGTACCAGATCCTACACTTTCTCCTAGAAACTATAATTGAGGTCTCTTCAGCATAATTATTTCATAAATCACAGGTGGTCTCTCTGGGTGTTGAACAAATACAAATGTGCTTGAGCAGATTTTGGCTAGCCACCCTAGCAAACACAGGTATACATGGAAAATGAGTGAACAGCCATACTCTGTAGTTTCCAAATTTGCCCTTTCCTACATAATGCCACTCTTTTTGGTGAAATTTTGTAATTTTATTAGTATTGGAACCAAGCTACTTATATGCCATTTGAATATCCAACCTTGGCAAATGAGAAATCCAGCCCCCCTCAAAAAAAATATTTAGATGTTTATCTCAAGATAATAAACAGATGCCTCTAGATATTTTGAAACCTGTCGGTGGAGTGAATCCTTTTGGAAGATTCAAATCTACTTTAATTTTCTCAGCAAAGAGCTCTCTTTAATCTCAGGTCATGTTTCTGAGGAACCCATAATCAATCACTTGTCAAAATTTCCTTTCTTGCTGTATTTCAGTCTGACCAAACTGGAATTGACTTCTGAAAGATTCCAAAATATTTTAACAAAAGAACTCCTTAGAAATTTCAGAGCCATGTCTTTTTTAGGAACCAATAATCTATGAATTTCCTTTATTGCCATTTTGGTTCAGCCAAGTAGAATTGCTTATTTATAGGGAGCAACTTCGGTTTCAAGTATGAGACCTGAAACCAAAGTTGCTCCCTATAAATAAGCGATATCTATATCTTCATGATTCAATAATGTTGTGTTCAAACCAAACAAATTATTTTACTAGGAAAAAAGAATGTAAACCAATAATAAAATAAACAGTATAGTTTTATAAAATTCATACCACTCATGGTGTTACATCCTAACTCACTGGATACATTTTTCATTTATTACTATTCTTTTACAAGGAAGTGCTGAAAACTTCCCAGCCTAACAATTAAACAAAATTGTTTTGTTTAAAAAAATTTGGATCATTCTTTTCTGTAAAACTGTGTGTTTCGAACCAATATTATAATCCTATTATTTTATTACTAGTTTCATTCCATCTTATTATTGATGCTTTTTATCCCAACCCTCTGGCCAGATCCACTCTTCATTATTCCTATTATTTTATTACTAGTTTGATTCCATCTTATTATTGATGCTTTTTTATCCCAAAACTGGCCAGATCCACTCATCATTATTACTGTTTTTATTACTAGTTTAATTCCATCTTATTATTGTTGCATCAAAGTAGATCCACTGCATTATTCCTATTATTTTATTACTAGTTTCATTCCATCTTATTATTGATGCTTTTTTATCCCCTCTGGCCAGATCCACTTTCATTATTCCTATTATTATATTACTAGTTTCATTCCATCTTATTATTGATGCTTTTTTCCCAACCCTCTGGCAGATCCATCTTCATTATTCCTATTATTTTATTACTAGTTTCATTCCATCTTATTATTGATGCTTTTTTATCCCAACCCTCTGGCCACATCATTGTTATTCCTATTATTTTATTATTTTAGTTTTTATTCCATCTTATTATTGATGCTTTTATCCCAAATCTGGCCAAATCCACTTCATTATTCCTATTATTTTATTACTAGTTTGATTCCATCTTATTATTGATGCTTTTATCCCAACCCTCTGGCCAGATCCACTCAAAATTATTCCTATTATTTTATTACTAGTTTAATTCCATCTTATTATTGATGGTTTTTATCCCAACCCTCTGGCCAGATCCACTCTTCATTATTCCTATTATTTTATTAAATAGTTTAATTCCATCTTATTTTGATGCTTTTCATCCCAACCCTGGCCAGATCCAACTTTTCATTATTCCTATTATTTTTTACTAGTTTCATTCCATCTTATTATTGATGCTTTTTATCCCAACCCTCTGGCCAGATCCACTTTTTTTTATTCCTATTATTTTATTACTAGTTTGATTCCATCTTATTATTGATGCTTTTTATCCCAACCCTCTGGCCAGATCCACTCTTCATTATTCCTATTATTTTTATTACTAGTTTAATTCCATCTTATTATTGATGCTTTTTATCCCAACCCTCTGGCCAATCCACTATTCATTATTCCTATTATTTTATTACTAGTTTAATTCCATCTTATTATTGATGCTTTTTTATCCCAACCCTCTGGCCAGATCCACTCTTCATTATTCCTATTATTTTATTACTAGTTTGATTCCATCTTATTATTGATTTTTTATCCCAACCCTCTGGCCAGATCCACTATTATTCCTATTATTTTATTACTAGTTTGATTCCATTTATTATTGATTCCTGATTTTTTATCCCAACCCTCTGGCCAGATCCAATGTTTATTATTCCTATTTTTTATTATAGTTTGATTCCATCTTATTATTGATGCTTTTATCCCAATTAGATCCACTTTTCATTATTCCTATTATTTTATTACTAGTTTCATTCCATCTTATTATTGATGCTTTTATCCCAACCCTCTGGCCAGATCCACTCTTCATTATTCCTATTATTTTATTACTAGTTTCATTCCATCTTATTATTGATGCTTTTTATCCCAACACTCTGGCCAGATCCACAGTAAAGAGTTCATTATTCCTATTATTTTATTACTAGTTTCATTCCATCTTATTATTGATGCTTTTTATCCCAACCCTCTGGAATGATCCCACTCTTCATTATTCCTATTATTTTATTACTAGTTTCATTCCATCTTATTATTGATGCTTTTTATCCCAACCTCTGGCCAGATCCACTCTTCATTATTCCTATTATTTTATTACTAGTTTCATTCCATCTTATTATTGATGCTTTTTATCCCAACCTCTGGCCAGATCCACTCTTCATTATTCCTATTATTTTATTACTAGTTTTATTCCATCTTATTATTGATGCTTTTTTATCCCAACCTCTTTTTTTTTCCACTCTTCATTATTCCTATTATTTTATTACTAGTTTCATTCCATCTTATTATTGATGCTTTTTATCCCAACCCTCTGGCCAGATCCACTCTTCATTATTCCTATTATTTTATTACTAGTTTCATTCCATCTTATTATTGATGAGATTTATCCCAACCCTCTGGCCAGATCCACTCTTCATTATTCCTATATTTTATTACTAGTTTTTTTCCATCTTATTATTGATTTTTTTATCCCAACCCTCTGGCCAGATCCACCATCATTATTCCTATTATTTTATTACTAGTTTCATTCCATCTTATTATTGATGCTTTTTTATCCCAACCCTCTGGCCAGATCCACTCTTCATTATTCCTATTATTTTATTACTAGTTTTTTCCATCTTATTATTGATGCTTTTTATCCCAACCCTCTGGCCAGATCCATTAATCATTATTCCTATTATTTTATTACTAGTTTGTTTCCATCTTATTATTGATGTTTTTTATCCCAACCCTACTGGCCAGATCCACTTGAGATTATTCCTATTATTTTTACTAGTTTCATTCCATCTTATTATTGATCATTTTATCCCAACCCTCTGGCCAGATCCACTCATCATTATTCCTATTATTTTATTACTAGTTTTTTTCCATCTTATTATTGATGCTTTTTATCCCAACCCTCTGGCCAGATCCACTCAAATTATTCCTATTATTTTATTACTCAAGTTTCATTCCATCTTATTATTGATTTTTTATCCCAATTTAGATCCATTCATCATTATTCCTATTATTTTATTACTAGTTTCATTCCATCTTATTATTGATGCTTTTTTATCCCAATCCTCTGGCCAGATCCACTCATCATTATTCCTATTATTTTATTACTAGTTTCATTATCTTATTATTATTGATGCTTTTATCCCAATTCTGGCCAGATCCACTT